ATCAAAATCCAGAATCAAATTCTCTTTTAGAGTCCAATGCAATTTTTAAAGTGAAAAAAGAAAAAAAAATCATCCTCCCTAAAGTCTTATTTTGTCCAGTTTCAGCTAACTTTTTAAACTTAGGAATCATTTCAAACACAGAGAAGAGTTCTAGAAGAGTACAAAGAACTCCCAGACTCACAACCACTAAGGTTTTGTCCCTGTGCCAGGTATCCCTTCACTGCACCTCAGCTTCAAATCCACCCTTGAGTGCTTGACCTTGAGTGCACGGCTGTGACCTTGGAGCTGGACTCTCTTGACCTTTTTCCTTTGGGCCTGGCTCCATGTTGAGCTTTGCCAGTAGAGGGCGCACTGCAGGGGGAGGAGGCTCTGGTATGAACTTTCCTGCTCCTACCCCTGCTCAGCAGCCATTGGGTGGAATGCCAGTGGGTATCGCCTCCAGTGAGTTCAAGAGCACCCCCAGCGGCAGTCTCCGGTGGGCACCATGGGCACTCCCTGGAACCGTCCAGCCCAGGCTTTCCCTGAAGGTGGCGCCTGCCCATTGGACCCCCTATACCCCCTGAATTTTGCTGCCGCCCCCCAGGGGCCAGGATCCTCCTTACAGCGTGGCCTGCAGAAACCTCAGCAAACCTCTTTGCCTACATTCCTTTTAAAAAAATGTGTTATTTATAAAATCTATCACCCTTATCTGGGTGCAGTCACAGTTTGGTATCTGAATTCTCCAATGGTGGGAGAGCTTCTGTGGCGAACACAGCCTGTGCAGTGAGGCCTGCCCAGGGAGGCCTGCCCAGGAGGCTCTGGAGCCCATGGGCAAGTCTGAGGCTTTAGGGTTGGCCCCTCTGTTGGTCCAGGAGGTGGATCAAATAATATTTTAAGAAAAGAGGAACCGAATTTGGGGCAGCTGAATGAACACAACCTACCCTTGTGTGGCGCTAACGATTTTTTTGAAACTGGATAAATGCAATCCCCTTTCTCTTTTTAAACCGTGTGGTGAAGTGTACATAACGCCACATGGACCGTTTAAAGTCCATTTCAGCGCTGAGCAGCCACCACCGCCATCCACTCCAGGGCTTGCTTCATCTCGCAAAACCGAAACTGTGCCCATTCAACACGTGGCCGTGGCACTTTGTGTTTGTCGACCAGGGGGTCATCTGGGGATGAAAACAGAGGCCAGGGCTGGAAACCGTCAGGGGTCAAGTCAGCGGGCCGGGAGCCACAGTCAAAAGCCTTGCCTGGAACTCGAGAGCCACAGGGACCTGGACGAGGGTTCCTTGCCCACGAGCTACTCAAGTTGGACCCGGCACTGGCAGGCAGCAGCGGCCGCGGCGGCAGCGCCTCCTGGGAGTGTGGCTAGAAATTCAGATGGTCAGGCCTTTTCTAAGACCTACGGAGCCCAAATCGGCAATCAGATGAGGTCCCCAGGACTTGGGGACACAGGAAGTCTGAGAAGTGCTGGTGTGTGAGATGTGCTGGTGTATTTGTCTTCAGGGTCACGTCCTGCTTTATAAATATCACAACGACTGAAAAGAAAGCAAGGGAGGTAGGGCCGTGCCTGGACAAGGTCCTGTGCCAAGTAAATACACTCTTTCCTCAGAGCTGTGGACCATCATAGGTTTAATTGGGAGGAGAAACCCAAATAGTTCTGTGCCTCCTCCTACCTGGTGATAAGCGGTTACTCATTTATCAAGCCTTTTGTCCTCTGTCCACACGGAGCAGCAGACGGCGGTCAGTGTGGCCTGGACTCTGGAAACCTGGCTCAAGGCCGCCTCATCCATCTGCCTGAAATTCCAAAGTAGAGAGACGCGCCTTTACATGTGGGGACCCAGCGCAGAAGCAAAAGGCAGACCAAGTGAAGGGAGGGTCCCCGGCGTCCACATACCGCGCCCACAGCGTGAGACCCAAGTCCTCCACCTGCATGCACTGTGCTTCTCTGGGCTGCCAAATGCAAGAGACATACATGCACTCACCTCACAAGGTTGTTCGGAGCAAATGCGAGAAAATGAATGTGAAGCCCTTTATGAAATAACTAGAGGCCCAGTGCACAAAATTCGTGCATGGGGGTGGGGGGTGTCCCTCAGCCCAGCCTGCACCCTCTTGCAGTCCAGGACCCCTCAGGGGATGTCCGTATGCCCACTCCCTTGGGAATGGGCCTAAGCTGACAGTTGGAAATCCCTCTCCCAGTCTGGAACCCCTCACTCCTTCCTGCCCACCTGCTGGCTGCTCCTTACCACCGCTGAGAAACTTGGGCTCCTTCCTTTGCGGCCACACAACTGTCACACGCCAGGCAGTCACTCAGAAATATCTTGGCATCAGCCAACTTATGGAATTCTCCCTTCTCTCCGTTCTCCTGAGCTGGACTTCGAACATACACATGATACATGGTTAAGAATTACATAAATACTATAGTAAATATCACATTACCTTGAAAAAGGCCTGAAGTTTGCTATAGAAGAGCGGCTCAGAGGGCTTAGCTAATGTGTTATTGTGAAGGGGTAAAAGGAGGGCTATGTGAAATTAGACTGAAAGCTGTAAACTAAGTGGAAGTTGTGGCTCATACCGTGTGTGGTGAGCAATGTAGCAGGTAGATGTTTGAAGTATGTGCATACAGGTATTCTATGAACCTCTAAGTGACTCTATTCTACTGCATTCAGTTTTCTATGTTCACCTTGGGTTTCTCACAGAAAAAAAAATGTGCATAAGCAAGTGCAAAATTTGCATTATGCAAATTGTCTCCTAATATTTTAATCACATTGGAACAAATATATGTTTTCAAAACAAGCAGAACTGCCTCTATCACCTTCCAACAGAATGACAGAGAAATGGGACCCAAATCTCAGCCCCATTGATACAGAATCACCCTAGCACATTTGCATTTCACTCTTCCACCCTAAGTAAAATCTGTTTGGTTTTTTAAAATATATTTTATTGATTTTTTACAGAGAGGAAGGGAGAGGAATAGAGAGTTAGAAACATCGATGAGAGAGAAACATTGATCAGCTGCCTCCTGCACACCCCCTACTGGGGATGTGCCCGCAACCAAGGTACATGCCCTTGACTGGAATTGAACCTGGGATCTTTTAGTCCACAGGCTGATGCTCTATCCACTGAGCAAAACCGGTTAGGGCCATTTTTTTTTTCCGAAACGTTACAAAGTTTATATGAATAAACATACAAAGATGCAGCCTCCTTTGTAGGAACAGGAAGGAAGGGGTGGTTAAGTATGGCACTCGGAGCTGCAGCAAACACCAGCTGTGGGGAGGACCAAGGGAGAGTGGAGGTTGGCACTGGGGCTGAGGCCCTAGAGCCGTTGCAGGAGAAGTAGGGATCCCCTCTGAGTGCCGCGTTCTGAGGCTGAACTTGATAGATCCTCCCTTCCCCCAACTGGTGGCGGAGTATGACGTAACCTGCAGTCCAGAAATACCTGAGTGACTAACCAGGTACCTTATATGGACTCTACATTGGATCACCAATCCACACCTGCCAAATACCCTAAGCCCATGTCCTATACGGACAATGCAGTAAGCCACCAATCAGTGTGCGCCGAGTACACTAAGCCCCACCCCTTCCCATTCCGCCCCTCAAAAGGCTTGCCCACCCCTGCAGGTGCTGCTGTCCTCCCCTTGCGAGGCAGGTGCTTCTCCTCTAATAAAGCCTGTAGTTCTGGTTTTCGGCCTCTGTCTGATCTTTCATTTTGGTGGTGAAAACCCAGGAGAGGTGAACGGGAGCGTGGACGATCCTCGAACCTGCAAACTGAAGCAGATTCCTGCTTCTGATTCCTGCTCTGGCTCTGCTCGGTGGTACAGTTCTGAGTTGATTGGCCCGCTCCGGACACCTCTCGAACCCTGCCGCACCAGGACACATGGGGATCTCGTCGCTTCCCTTCCACCGGTAGGCTTCAGGGACTTTCCCAACCCCTCCTACTTTTTTCTCTCGCTCCCTGTGACCTGGAGGGGCATTAGGGCCTACAGAGTTTCCCGTCTACTCGGCTACACGTTTTGTACGTTCTACGAAAGCCCAGGTACCTGGCCGGGAATTCTCTTCTACTCCATGGGAAAGGTCTTGGGGTGACAACCTTGGAACCTTTTCTCATCTCTCTCTCGCTACAGGTTGGCTGAGGGAAAAGGAGGACGCTCCTTGTTCCTTCCCCAATTCCACTTGCCCTTCCCTCCGGTCATGAGGACCTCTCGGTCCAAACCCCCTCGAAACACACCCTTAGGGTGTCTCCTCGCCAATCTCTCGACCCTTGGTCTTTCTGGCTACATCAAACCAAAGAAGCTTGTTTTTTGTTTTTTTGTTTTTCAGTTGGGAAGGGAGGATCTATCGGAACTAATTGGTCAAGCTGAGGCAGAGGTGGGTGCCATATCAGCCATCTTTGGTGCTGATTACCCTTTCGCAGCCCAGCTCTGTTATAAAACCCCAGAGCCCTGGATTCCAAAGGCCCCATCCAGAGCAGAGGCCCTGGAAGGGGGTGAGAGGAAGTGACTAGGGCAGTTTGAAGATACTGGGAGTCTCCAGAGGGGAGGGCACCCTCCTCCATCCCTGCTGTGGCTTTGGCTGCCCTGCTCACTCCTGACACCACACGTGAGTTGGGGAGGGGTCGGTGAAACATCTCAGTTCCTGGCCCCCACAGGCCTCCCTTCCATCCAGGCCTGACTGCCTGCCTGCCTGCCTCCCTCCCTCCCTTTCTTCCTCTTCCTTTTCCTCTTCCGCAGCAGGGAGGGGGCAAGGCCGGTGGGGGAAGCTCCACCCCCTGCCCGCCCCGAGGCCTCATTCTGAGAGAGGCTCCAAGAGCTCCAGCTGGGAGTGAGGGAACGGAAGGGAGAAAAGGCTGTGAGCTGGTGGGCCTTGTGTGTGCCTGTGCCTGTGCGGTTGTGAGTGTGAGTGCCGGGCACTCTCTCTCCTGGTGCCCCGGCAGAGGGGCCTGCGCCACGGGTGCTGTGGTGCCCCAGGACTCACTGCCACCGGCCCTGGGAGGGGTGAGAGGAAGTGACTAGGGCAGTTTGAAGATACTGGGAGTCTCCAGAGGGGAGGGCACCCTCCTCCATCCCTGCTGTGGCTTTGGCTGCCCTGCTCACTCCTGAGCACCACACGTGAGTTGGGGAGGGGTCGGTGAAACATCTCAGTTCCTGGCCCCCACAGGCCTCCCTCCATCCAGGACTCTTCAGGCCCCATCTGTTTTGTTTCCATCTCTCCATCCCACTCTCTGTCTCTCTTTTTTTCTCAGAAGTCCTCCAGGCCTGCCTTTCTCCCTCCCTTTTTCCTCTTCTCTCTCTCTCTCTCTCTCTCCCTCTTCCCCGGCTGGGAGGGGCTGGGGCTGGTGCGGGCAGCTTCACCCTCTTCCCGCCCTGAGGCCTCATTCTGAGAAATGCTCCGAGAGCGAGCTGGGAGGGAGGGAAAGAAAGGGGAAAAGGCTGTGAGCTGTGGGCCTGAAGGACTGACTGCCACCAAGGGTGCTCCAAGGGCGGGATCTTCTCACAGGCCTTGCCGGAAACAGCTCAGGGAGGCGCCTCAGGGCCAGTGGGACTGACGGAAGTGGGGATGTGTCATGCAGGTGGTGCCTGCGCCTGTGGGCCATCAGGAGCGCTCACAGCCACCGCCACTATGTGGGGAGTACAGGCCGCCCTCCGCCGGCCCCTCCTCCCCCCCCCCCCTCCACTGCCAC